TACAATATAGCTCTGTGATTTTCATTTTTTTTTTGAATTTGTAGAAGGTAACATAGTCTTTTTCCCAGACTAAGTTCGACTAAGAGGATTACACATTACTTGACTGGATTCGATCATCATAGGACCTAGATTCAGATTGATTTAATTACCTTTTTTTAGGGGTAGATTCATCTAATTACCTGCATTCCATAGAAGCTAAGAAGGGCTTAAAAGTCAAGATCCCTATGAAACGCTGAAAACCCAGTCCCTGCACTCAGAACCACAATGCTGAGTAGGACAACACATTTGCCTCATGTCTCCTTTTCATTGCTTACCTTTTTGACGAAATTCAGATAACTTTCTTCCTTGCTCCTTCCTTCCTTCCTTCCTTCAGGAATGTTCAGTACTCCACCATTCAGAAACTTGGTTATCAACCATGTACTATAAAGGCATCATAGGATATGACTTCAGGGTGACTGATCTAATAATAATTCACATTCCATCCAAGCTAAAAAGGCCTTTAAAGTCATGATCCCCATGATGGCTGATGAAAATCCTACCCCTGCACTCAAAACCAATGCTGAGTGTGAGTAGGACACACATTTCCCTCCTCTTTCCTTTCCATTGCCTCCTTTTCTGGCCAATTCGAGATAACTTTCTTCCTTTCTCCTCCCCTCCTTCATTAAAAGGAAGCCAGGAACAACATGGCTCTCTCTCCCCCTCTCCCTTATGCATCTCTGCACTAGCCATGGTTCACACATCGAAAGCCTCAGCACCGCGCTGAAGTGCCGATCATGGCCGCCCGTTCTCCTGCCGCCGCAGGGTTCGAAAACGAGTGCAGAGAGATCCATGGCGCGTGCGACGAGCCGCGCCGCCTGAGCCGCCTCCTGGCTCACCGGAGCGCGTCGGAGAGGCAGCAGATCAAGGCGACGTACCGTGCAATGTTCGGCGAGGACCTCGCCGGCAGGCTCCACAAAACCCTCACGGCCAATCAGGACAATGAGGTAATAAGATAGACAAAGGGCATAACAGGTAGGCAGACTGGCAGAGCGTCTCAACGTACTCTGCTTTCAGTCTCACATGGCCTCCCTCTCCAGCTCTGCAACCTGCTCTACCTGTGGATGCTTGACCTGGCGGAGCGAGACGCGATCATGGCGAGGGACGCCATCGAGAGCGGCGCGGCGGCCGATTACCGCGCCCTTGTCGAGGTCTTCACGCGGCGGAAGCAGGACCAGCTCTTCTTCACCAAGCAGGCGTACCTGTCCAGGTTCAAGAAGAACCTGGAGCAGGACATGGACACCGACCCCTCGCACCCTTATCAGAGAGTATGTCTGCCCTGTCCACGTCCTGCTTCTCGTTCTGGTTTCAGTCATTTTTCTTCCGTTTCTACCTGGCAAAGGTAGCTCACTCCTTTGCCGGGTTTCCCCCTCGTGGTTCGAGCAGCTATTGGTAGCTCTGGCAACCTCCCACAAGTCGCACCACGATGAACCCAGCCGGCACATCGCGAAGTGCGACGCCAGGCGATTGTACGACGCCAAGAACGGTGGCGGCACGGGATCGGTCGACGAGGCCGCCATCCTCGAGATGTTCAGCAAGAGGAGCATCCCACAGCTCAGGCTGGCGCTCTGCAGTTACAAGCATATATATGGGCATGACTTCACCAAAGTAAGCAAACTCAATGGCAGTCTCTGAATGTGAATCTTGGCCAATCATGAATGTGTATGTATGCAGGCACTGAAGAAGAATTTGGCTGGTGATTTTGAAGAGTCTCTGAGACTTGTTGTCAAGTGCATCTACAGTCCTTCCAAGTATTACTGCAAGGTGAATAACAGAAACGCAAGCAGTGCTGTACTTGAATTTGTACTAGCTACATCGCTGGTCCCTGACTCATTCTTCTGTTCTTGGCCTTGTCAGTTACTGCAGAGAAGCATGCAACGCCCAGAAGCCCATAAAAGGTTGGTTACGAGGGCTATCTTGGGCAGCGACGACGTCGGCATAAACGAGATCAAGTTGGCGTTCAAGAGTAACTTCGGAAAGAACTTCGCAGATTTCATCCATGAAAGCTTACCACAGAGTGATTACAGAGAGTTTCTTTGGTTGTGGCAAGGGGGCCGGTGCCCAGTAGCATCATAAAATTGGTACTTGCATTTTGTTTTGTAATAGTGGTAAGTTGAACATGAAGAGTGGCAGCAGTGCCATCTTATCTGAACTTGGGATTAGGTGAGAACATGCTATCATTTATCTGTTACATAATTGCTTAACATCCATTGTGGCAAAATTATTATATTTCATCTAGTACTAAATAGAACATAGAATGTATGTATGCTGCAGAGGAGTATATAATCTCAGATAAGCTTCTTCTTCCGGAAGTACCGTTTTAGATGCACCAGCTGCATAACTGAAACACAAATGCAAACACCGAGCGACATCATGCTCAACCATAAGACCCTAGCATTCGTCACCTCACTGACATCTCTCATGTCGGATTCTCTGCATCAAGAACAATATTTTTAGACGGAATAGTTACGTCTTTTGGCATCAACAAAATTGATGAAACACGACCGGAGAAGTGCATTGGACTTACTTGGTCCTCAGCACGAGCAGATTTTCATAGATTGTTTGGACAGATTCATCAAGCTTAAACAACTCTAGCGCAACTCCCTATTCAGGAAAGGCACTGTCATCCAAACGAGGAAAACAACGAAATTGAAAAATGATGGGTATACCATCATAATTTCATGTACTTCACCTCAATCTTTTCCTTTTTAGCAATAGCATCCCAATCTTTTGCCGCGATACCAATTTTCCAGTCAAGATTTAGTTTCATCACCAAACCCTTGTTATCACCGTCAACTGTAAAGCAAGCCAAGTAATTTCCTGCTTCTGATGTGGTAAATGCAAACTGGTCCACCGTAACCTTATCTTTCTTGTGTATGGTATCCCCAAAAGGGGATGTGATCTGCAAGAATTATGTACATCAAAACGGATACAAATGAGTCAAGAAAACAGAAATTGGAGTCAGTTCCAAGAAATTACAAGGGGAAATAAATATACAGTTAAAACTGAATGATAAAGCGTGGAAGGAAGCCTAGTGACGGGATTTTTTTTGGAACTCTACTGCCCTTGCACACGCACACTGCATAGCTACAGGAATATAACGTATGCAATAATATCATGTGATGCAACTATGGAACCAAAGTTACAGCTAATAGAATAGTAGAAGGTGTCAAGGTGGATCATAATTCCAATGCCTCCCAATTCGCAAGTACTTATTAGTTCTTCCTATTCCTAGTTATGACTCAGACTGAATTAAAATACTGCAGATTCTCTCTATTTATGATCTTCTGTTTCCTTCAGTAAAGCACTAAAACATCAAAACCATGTGATTGTAAGGCATGATATGGCACATGCTTGAGAATTCAGCCCTAGTTTAGTGGCTGGAATTCAAGGTGCTGAACCCACCCACCCGTGTCCGAGTCCGCTATGCGGACTCAGATGGGTTGCTATCCGCGTTAATTTGCAGAGAGGTCTCACTTTTATATAACAGTGGACTTACCCCTTTAGCCAATGTATTTTTGATATGGAACATGCAGGAAAAGGAAAATTTTGAACTATCAACTCCAATTTTCATGGGTACAAGGTGAAAACCAAAATCAAACAAAGGTAATTTCGAAACAACACATATAATTCAATGTCGATGTAAAACTCCAGATATAATAGAAAAAATGGATAAGGCGCCAGGACAAATCAAATCACCGTTGTGCCCCATTATGTATTCTATTTCAGTGAATTCAATGTTTTTTTTTGTGACCACAGTGAATTCAATGTTGAAGGATGATAATGAGCCCTGGTTGAAAGCAAAACACACCTTTGGTAAACTATGGATCATATAGAATGTTTAAATAATTCCTTATATTCCTTTTATGTGTACACGCACAATGTGAAATAATCACATGTACTAGTATCTTTGAAAATGAATAAAGGTACCAAATGTTTTTCAGTACAACCAGCACCTGAGCCCCAGATCAATGTAGATATATGCCAATGAATCAATGATTTCCCAACTGGTAATAGCCACCGATGACTCGTTCCAATTTTCTGACGACTTTACCAACCGATTCTACCCCCGGTGTCTCGTTCAATATTCTCATCTGCATTCTGCAACTTTGCAAAGGATCCTCACCATGAACAGATCAACCCAGTCGCTGTAAATTCATTGCTTTCTCCCTTTTCCGATCGAATATACTACTTACTAGAATGTGAACCCAATCCAGCCACTGTAAATTTGAGCTATCAATGAAAGCGGCAGCAGTCCTGCCATGTTTTTCCAAATAAATGAGGGGAGATGGTTCACCCGCGACTAACCCAACCCTCATCATTCATTTCGCAGTGTTGAACGTTAAATCCTTCCATTTTATAACCTCCCACATTGCATTTATGCACCGATCGTTCGGGCGGAGTATGAAATGTAAATGTACGTAAATGAATTACCTTGACGGAGACGGTGGGATGGACCTGCTGGTGCTCGTAGAGGACGGCGTAGTCGCCGATGACGACGACGTTGGACCGGATCTCCTCCGCCACGCACTTGGTCCCCGACGGCGCGATCTCCAGCCACACCGCCCTGGCGCCCGCCGCCATCCACCACAGCACCGCCGCCGCCGCCGCCGCCCACGCGCCACCTCGCGCCATTGTCGCCTCTTCCTGCTGGTCACACTTCCCTCCCAACCTCCTTCCTCTCCCAGATTGTTTTTTGAGGGAACACCACACCAATGGCTCCATCCTTTTTCGGCCCAGTAGGCCCATTAACACGTGAGGCCCCATTGGGCCAGATTAATCAATGCTGAACATCATCACATTACGCGGAGGAACCGAGTCCGAGTCAAAGCCCAACATCCTATCCAACCCCTCTCGGTGCAAAAAGAGAAGAGGAAATCGGCAGAAAGAAAAGGCGAGAAGGAAGGAGGCAACGAAGCGAGGGGATTCCGCGGAGTTGGTGGAGGCGAGGGTTTGGTGCGGCCATGGAGAACCTGGCGATGCTGTGGGGGATCATCGGGCCGGGCGTCGCCGGCGCGCTCTTCGGCGCCGGCTGGTGGTTCTGGGTCGACGCCGTTGTCTGCAGCGCCGTCCAGGTCTCCTTCATCCACTACCTGCCCGGTAACCAGATCCCCTCCCTCCCGCTTCCCCAGGCTTTGGTGATTCGTGTCGCGGCTCCGAGGTCGGGAATTGACCGGTCTCTGTGGGCGATTTGCAGGGATCTTCGCGTCGCTGGCCGCGCTCATGTTCAATTGCGTCGACAAGGATGCCATCGGGAACGACTACTACTCGTCCTACGGGGATGATTCCGAGTGGAGGTCAGATTACTGCTCGATTTGGCACCAGTTGATCGAATTGATCGCTGAATTCAAGATACTGTGTAGTATTAACCAAAGATTAGGTTACTGAAATTCCTAGTGGATGATTGGATTGAACCCTGAATATATACACGTTAACTGCACGACCGAAAAGTTAGTTATGTTTGCAATTATAATGTCACACACTGAATTTATGATGTGTTTGTTGGGTGTGTCTAGGGCACATCTAGATGTGCTCTAGTTATTGCACATCCAAGTGAGTGAATTAAACATAAAGAGGAAAAGAAAAAAGAAAAAAAGAAAATATCCACACGAATCTCGACGTAGGATCAATGACATAAGATTTAGATGTGCAATACTTATGGCACATCTAGATGTGCTTTAGCAAAACTGGTGTTTATTTTAGTTGACCAATTGGTTCTGGATGAAACCAAACTGATTAGGTACCTTGACTATTCTTGTGTCAAAAGAGAAAAGCCATGATATCTTGGACCTAGGTTAGGTTCTTAAGTCATCTCAGGCCTGACCATATGTTAAGGGCTGACTGATCTGATTACATAAGTCTGAATGGTTTAGCGAAGTCATATTAAGGCTTCTTTGGGTGGTCATGGATGTGCTTGGACCAATTGATTCTGGATGAAACCAAACTGATTACGTACCTAGGCTATTCTTGTGTCAAAAGAGAAAAAGTTACGGTGTATTTGACCTAGGTTAGCTGCCCAAGTCATCTGAGGCCTGACCATATGTCAAAGTCTGACTAATCTTATTATGAGTTTAAATGGTTTAGAGAAAGTCATATTAAAGCTTCTTTGGGTGGTCGTGGATGTGCTTGACACCTAAGTCTGTAAGTCAACAGTGTGACCTCTCTTTTGATAGTTCTAACAGCTAAAACAGTTACTATATCTCATGAGGGTAGCACCGGTTTCTCTATTGCTAATGATCCTCATTATTTCCCTATTAGCACTGCTCATCAATCTTCATTGTATGCTACTCTATTTCTATCATATTCCTGTTTCCCTTGACATTTAATTTAACATGTGTCAAACACCTACATATTTTGTTACCGGTTTCTGTTACTGTGGCTTGCCTTTCAAGCCGAGCTTTTTCCATGATGTGCCAATATGGTACAATCCCAATGGGGTTCAAAAAGAAACTCTTATTGGTTGAAACTCTTACCAGTTTCTGTTACTTGTATGCTTATTTGGATTTATTTCTGAATTATAGTTGTACTCCCTCCGTTTTTATTTAGTCCGCATATTGGCTTTGGTCAAAGTCAAACTTTGTAAACTTTGACAAAGTTTATAAACAAAAATATGAACATATACAATAACAAATCAATATCACTAGATTCATTATTGAATGTACTTTCACATCATATAAATTTGTTATGTTAAATGTTTATATATTTTCTCTAAACTTGGTCAAACTTTATAAAGTTTGACTTCAGTCAAACCTAATATGCAGAGTAAATAAAAACGGAGGGAGTATATATTAATTTCTGTCGTTCAACTTTCTGCTGCGTGACTGCCTGAGTGAGATAAAAAAAAAGTGCAGTTTCACCTATTTTCTTCTAAATATCATACGTGCATAAAAAATTGATGTTGGTAGAGGTGGAAAGTTAGGACTTCAAGTGTCTACTGTTGTGAAGCCCATTTTTCTAAAATTGTAGACCCGTGTATAACATTTTTATTATATCGTGGTTAGTTTCTATGTTGTTATCTTTGTAAATATTCATTGGGAAAGATCAGAATAATTTATTCCAAACCTATAGTTGCAATCTGACCAAGATCATAGTTAGAATGCTTGATTAAGTTATTTTTATGGCTCTAGGTTTTCAAACTAATCTCTTTGTATAATATTTTATATGTTGGAGTCAAAGGAATACGTTTAATTTTCCTGAACTGATGTGCTGCACATTCTGCGAATATTTTAAGCTTCATTCCAGCCATACAAAGCCAATGCAAGGATTAGCTAAAACTTCTTCAAGAAATTTGAAATAAGCCACATGGTTCTTTAAGGAGGAAAATAGTAGGAGAGGCTCCTATTGTGGTATGATATATAAGTAAAGATATTTACGACATGGGTTGAGCTATGACATACTCCCTCCGTCCCGAGTTACTTGTCTTAGATTTGTCCGTATCTAGTCACTTTTAGTGTTAGATACATCCACTAGGCAAATCTAAGACAAGTAATTTGGGACGGAGGTAATATAAATAAAGATATTTACAACATGGGGTTTAGCCCTTATAGAGGAACATAGAAAATAGGAACATTACACTGTCAACAGAAGTGAAAATATAATCAGTAAGTGGGATCCTTGGCCTTAGCAGATGAAGCCACACGGATATCTTGCAACAAGATGAATCTTAAAATGTAGGCACAGTCTACGCAAGCCCGGAATGTTGAAGGTTTACTTGTTTATTAGGTTCAAGTGCAGGGGTTAAGGGTTTTCATTTTATGGCATCTATTCATTTATGTTGTGCAGAATCTCAAACTCGTTGTTGAGATGCTATCTCAAACTGATGAAGTGCTTTTGACCAAAAGAACGTTGTAGTTGCAGCATGTTACTATGTGATTGCACTGATTCATTCTGCCTCTTTGTGTCTTTCATTAGAGTATAAGTAGACAAATAATGGGTGCTCGACAACTTCCTTTTACACGAAGCAATTGCTTAGGAACCTTAGTGTACAATCTGCGCCGTTTCCCTCTCTACTTTAGATCTTAGCACCCAATCAGTATGTCTGTACTAAGGATGAAGGCCTGTATTGGGAGTTTCTCTAGGGTTGGTAAAGCGAAATGGACGCCACCCTAGCCCATTGAGTGCTGGGTACAGTAGTTTACTAGCAAATGGGATTTAATGTGCAAGAAGGATTTTCTCCTGTCCTGAGATACTACATTGTATTGTTCTAACAAGGGTTTCTTAATGCGCAGGGTGAAGCTCTGGCTTTTCGTCGCCTATGTAGTTTCTTTCGTCTGCCTGGCTGGATCAGTGGGTTTGTTGGTGCAAGACGCCCTGACAGACAAGGGCCCTTCTGTGTGGACTGGTGTTGCCGGCGTCCTGCAATGCGTTTTTGTGTTGATAAGGTATATCAGCAACTTCGTCTCTGCCTCCCTCCTTGATTCACTTGGCCAGTATGCGTGTCCTGACGTCGCATCGCCTTTGCAGTGGGTTGACATACTGGACGTGCCACACCGAGGACTAGGAAGGGTCAAAATGCTGTGAGCGGACTGGGATGGATGGTAAAACTTGTCGCGAAGACGTCTGCTCTACTGCCCGTGTGTGGTCCTGTGTAAATTAACGTTCATTCCAGGGCGCGATTACTGCTACGATAAAAAAAAGGTGGGATTACTGAGTGTCTGTTGTGTGCATAGCTGACTGCTTCCTGAAATGGATCCGTAGCATCAGTACTACTACGTGTTTATTATCATAATTTGTTGTGAGCCTGTGGTGCTTGGTGGCTCGAGAGGTTAGCATTGAGATTGGATCACGAGCAAATCGTTATTACTGTCAAACCTCCCTATGAAAATTCAGTTGACTCCATTAAAGCTGCTGCTGGGCGGTTGCCGCTCGCACATTCTTATTTCTTGGTGAGCGCAAGACAGTAGACCAGCATAATGTCACCTTAAATCCAGATGCCGTTGCAGGCTGATTCTTTTGGTGCCCGTAAACAAAATTTGTCAGTCGATCTAGATCGTGTGACGTCGGTCTCCTGAATGTACTCTTTTCATAAAAAAAATGGCATCTCGGACTCCTTGGACAGCACTAGATTTTGCAGGTAGCCTGGCACCTTGTTTAGAGTACTCTAGATTAGATTGCGTGGGGCCTGGCTGCCGCCCACCCTGCCGGACGAGACTTCGGGATCGCGCGGCAGGCTGACCCCTGGCCCGCCTAAAATATGTGCCGACAGCAGCGGAGAAGTAGAAGGCGAGGACCCCCCACGTGTGGCCTCCGTCGAACGATCCATCACCGTCGCGCTTCCCCGCTCGTCCTCCCGGTGATGTCACCGGTGCCGTTCCGCCCGTGGCGCCTCGTGTGCTTTGTTTGCGCTGCAGTGCAGCCCTGATCGGATCCAGCTTGGTCGCTTTCCCCAAAGCTCAGGACCGGGATATCGCGTTGCTTTGGTAGTGCCAACCGCGTTTGTTTCTTCCTAACCAACTTCCATCTAGGAAGGAAAGAGGATGCGAACCTACTCGGACAGCAACTGCTACGAGTGTAAGTACCGTCACGGGAAATCCGTCGTATGCAGAGTGGATTTTTCGGCCAGGTGATCCAAAATCGTTGGTGATGATGAGCTGAGAGAGCAGTCTGTCTACCAAGGGCGACGATAAAACAACGGTGATCCAGACAGCGTGACGGGCGCCCCACGGCCTGCCGACGTGCGCGCCTGGTGCGCCCTCGCGTACACGTAATCGCGCGGGCGAGCGAGCTCGTAACGCGCCGCAGCGCCCCCGGCCCTGCGCCCGCGACGTGACGCCCGGGCCACTCCGACCCGATCCTCGGCGCACTCCTCCCCGACGTGAGGCCCTAAAATACGCCGAGAACAGAGGACAAGTCGAGGACTCCGTGGCATCTCGTGCGGTGCACCAGCGCTTCCCCCTGATCGGACCAGACCAGACCAGCCTCATCGCTTTCCCCAAAGCGCAGGGCATAATAACCGATTAACCGGACCGGGACCGGTACGCGTCGACGTCGCGCTCTTGGAAGTGCCGACCTTCCGTTCGTGCTGAAGGACTTCCATGGCCCAACGAAGAGTACCGAAAACGACGTGGGAAGCTTGTCATCAGTGCTCCCGAATTATCCTCTCATTTTTTTCCGGCAGGACGTCCGCTAATGATGAGCACTGAGCACTCTGCCAATACTCACGTTAGCCAGGGCCGGTGCGAAAAGGTAATGTGACGAGGAAACGCACGGCGGCTGGCCGTGGTGGGCGCGCGCGGAGATGCACTGGAACCGGGTGCCGCGTTGACTCGGGAGACGCACCGGGCGCCACACGGCCCCGCGTCGTCGCGTGCCCCCCACCCCACCCCACCCCACATACTCGAACGTGATACGGACCCCCCGGCAAGTCCGCCGGGCGGCCGCGACGTGTGACGCCCCCGGGATCCGAACCTCGGTGCCAACGCGGCCTGCCGCCGGAGCGATGGATGATCGTGGATGTACAGATCACGGATGCCCACACGGCACGACCGGTCGGCCGCGCCGGCGATTTGTGCGTTTAGTTTTCCGCCCATCGTTGCTACGCCGGCTGGCTGGCTGGCGCAGGACAATTGCAAATACTACTAGCTATCCATATGCCGATTTTGACTCGTTTTCAGGGCCTATTTGATATGATACTCCCTCGATCTCATATTAATTGTCGCTGAAATGGATGTATCTAGATGTTCTTTATCTTGAAACTATGTTTAAAGTATTTCAATCCATAGGAGTTCTAATATGGTGCCGTCAATTCTCGGTCATTTATGACCAGAGTTGTTCGACAACATTTAGAATAGTCCCTTCCAGCGTGAAAGTGTTCTTCTCAGCTCGAATTTATATGAGCTCCGATGAACGGTAAAATTCAAACATAATGATTTTTGTGTGTGTGGGGCAAACTCTGACAAATGTTTTCAATGCTTACAAAGTTTCATCCTGAAATCACATTCATGGATGTCATGAGAAAAAATATCAACACTCCAAAATTCTCTTGAAAATAACTTTCTGGAGCATCGATTTTGTTTTCTTTGCCACGACTTCCATGAATGCTATTGTATGATGAAACTTTACAAGCATCGAAAACATTTGTCAAAGTTTGCAACAAAAACACTCAGTTTTTTTTGGTTTTAACAAATTTTAGAGCTCGAGCTCAGTTAATCCGCGTCGCTTCTAGAGGTCGATTTTTGCCTACTAGGCAAAAATACCGCAAGTTCTAAATTTTATCTCGGACAGGGATTTCTATAATTACTATGAAATTCATAAAAGAAAAAAATCGGGTCTATGTTCAACGTTTTTTTTCTCAAGAACAAGGAAAACTTTTTTGTTTGGGTGAGAATGAATTGACTCGAGCCGGTGCAGGGCCGCAGGTGTCCGTGACGACGATCATCCCCCAACGATGGCAAGACGAACGTGACAATCGCCTCCCGTTGTCACCGTCTCTGAGAAAAGAAAAACAGCCGCCCTCTGACCCCCGTTCACAGCCCAGCCTTGTGAACGCAGCATTTTCCTTTCTTTTCTTTTCTGAACTCCGGCCATTAAAAAGATTAAACTAGTCTTCTTCTTCTCCGCCTGTGTGTTTCCCTCCCCCGGCTTCGGTTACTTCGAACCTTCATAAAGGCCGGCCTCGGCCTCTCGCTCCCGGCACAGCACAGCAGCGCGCGACGCGTTCACCAGACCAGCTCCACCTCCAGGCGATAACGTACACACGTACTACGCCGGAGAGGGTTGGGACGGAGGTGGCCGGGAGGAGGATGAAGGCCAAGGGCGGCGCCGCCGGCGGGGAGAGGAGGCCGGTGCTGTCGAGGACCATACTGCTCCTCTGCGCCTGCAGCTTCGGCCTCGGCATGCTCTTCACCGACCGGTGAGCCCCTCTCCTCCCCTCCACCCCCTAGATTGGTTTCCGTCTGACACGCCGTGGGCACCCTTCTTGGTGGGGTTCTTGGATGCATCTGCTCGCCGTTTGCGGAGCGATGCGGCGCCCTGCTCGCCGCAGGCCTGTGGCTGACGCATGTTCTATGGCGTAGGTTCGGAGCGATGCCGGACTTGAAGAGCCCCGTGGTGGCGCAGCGGCGGCGCCAGGAGGAGGAGCTGCAGGTCGTTTCTGAAGATTTTGTCGCCAAGACGGTACGTTAGGGCGGCTGACTAATCGATGAACCCCTTCTATACTTATTTACTCCCTCCGTCCGCGAATAAGTGTACATCTAGCTTTTGTCTTAAGTCAAAGTCTTAATACTTTGACCACCTTTCTAGGAAAGAGTAAAAGCATTTATGGCACCAAATTAGTATCACTAGATTCGTTTTGAAATGTACTTTCATAATATATCAATTTGATGTCATATATGTTATTACTATTTTCTATAAAGTTGGTCAAAATTTTAAAACTTTGACTTAGAACAAAAACTAGATGTACACTTATTCGCGGACGGAGGGAGTATGTTGATGGAACTTATGCTTGGTTGCATTTTAAAAAGTACTACTAAATGTTTGTAAACTTTGGCATCATTAATTTTAACAATGCAGAAACGACGGTAAACACCCATTGATACTTTGATAGGGATCGTCTGTTTTTGGCACCTGGTTTATTTCAGAAAAAAGAACAAACAAGGTTTATCAACATAAGATAAATCAGGTTATCTTTTTTACAAGAAATAGGTGCAGAGTGAAAATGGATATTTAAATGAGAAAATCCTGATGTTCTTCAGTTTCCCCTTTGGTGTGCAATTCTGTGAACACCTTTATTATTTATTTCAGAAACCATCTGACGACAGGGACGTCATGGGGGAAGTGGCCAAGACTCATGAGGCCATACAGTAAGTTGACATCAGTCTTGAAAATTGTTCCGGAACTCTCTGCATTTTTATATTTTTATTAGGGGCTAATTGGAACATATCATTTTTGTGTCTAGATATTTAGACAAGTCGATCGCCACGCTACAGATGGAGCTGGCAGCGCGGCGCAGCAGGCATGAGCTGCTTGAGAGTGCGGATGGCGTGAGGCAGGAAAGGAAGAAGGCTTTTGTGGTGATCGGGATCAACACCGCCTTCAGTAGCAAGAAGCGCCGGGATTCTGTCAGGGAGACGTGGATGCCTCAAGGTTCATTACTTTGCAATGCTACCTGATTGTCGAGATGATTGTCTCCCTTGTTTTAGCATAGCTGTTGCTTGCTGGATTTCTTGTTCTTAGTTAGAACCGATGCAGAGGAATGTGTATTTAATCGGCTAGAATGGTGGTGTGCAGCTAGCGAGGAAATTACAGAGAAATGTGCAAGTACAGAATCAAGGGACCAAATAGGATCATCCATTATCATAGCAAATATAATCAATTAAATATGATTATTTATCATTATAGCAATTAGAATAATCAAATAGGTTTATTTATCATCATAGCTGCCTCGGGTCATACATTTTGTTTGTTGCATGTGTACTTTCTGCTAAGAGTTGAGCTATTTAGATTGGGGTGGGGTGGATCATTTAGTTGGCTGACAGTTATTTCACCACACATATCTCGTCATTATTTATCAGGTGAGAAACTCAAGAAATTGGAAGAGGAAAAGGGAGTCGTCATTCGCTTCATGATCGGTCATAGGTAATGTAACGGACACAATATTTTATAACTTGTTGCCAAAATATCGTAAGATGAGGTTCCGTAAAAGAAAAATCGTAACACAGAACAGATACATTGTAAATATCTCCATGGAAAGCTTACATATTTTAGCCAAGAAAAGGATTCCGCAAAGCCTCAGTTTCTTGTTCTGTTTTGATTTTTAGAGATTTCTGTAGTTATTCACTTTCTCAAATTCCAAAAGACAGATTTCATTCAAGCTTCAGTAGATTGTGTTACTATTTTTTCAGAACACATACTGTGCAGCCTTTTCTTTTTAGATTGTATATTTCCATAAGTCTAAATGTAGTAACATGTGTTTATGCTTTCCAGCCCGGCATCGAACAGCGCCCTTGATCAGGCGATAGACGTGGAAGATGCTATTCATCATGACTTTCTTAGGCTGGTATGGCGTTACTCTCCAAACACTGAATTGCATCATTTCTTTCCCCTTTCTGTTAAACGACAATCAGCCAAATCTTCTTGACATCATCGATTTGAGGTGTCAACAGTTCAACAATGAAATTAATTCTGACATAATTCTCAAAGATTTTTTTTGATTCTGACATCCATCCGCGCATGTAGGACCATGTCGAAGGTTACCACAAGCTATCTGCAAAGACCAAGACATTCTTCTCCACTGCTGTGGCATCATGGGATGCTGATTTTTATGTCAAGGTGGATGATGATGTCCATGTCAACCTAGGTATGCTGTTGTATATATAAATATACCTTATGAAATCCCAATCATATTGGAGAGAACTAAGTGATGTTTTTTGTACAGGAATGCTCCTCACAACCCTTGGGCGGCACAAATTGAAACCCCGTGTCTACATTGGCTGTATGAAGTCTGGACCGGTTCTCTCCGACAAGTAAACTTTCTGAAAACACTATCTAGCTATTACAGTCGAAGTATCAGTGCATCCTACTATTTTATAAGTACTGAATATCACTGCTCTTCTTCAGAAGTTCGAAATACCATGAGCCCGAGTTCTGGAAGTTCGGAGAAGACGGGAACAAGTACTTCCGCCATGCGACCGGGCAGATATACGCCATCTCAAAAGACCTCGCCACCTACATCTCAGTCAACAAGTAAGATTAGAGAACAGATAATGCTCATTCAGACAACGTTTCCATTCGATGATTAGCAACTGACGCCGCCGTGTTTTCGTCGTATCACCCAGGCCCCTTCTGCACAAATTTGCAAACGAAGATGTGTCTCTGGGAGCATGGTTCATCGGGCTAGACGTGGAGCACATCGACGACAGGGACATGTGCTGCGGAACGCCGCCAGGTCAGTTCCTTTCAGTTGTTATTATCTACACCATGCACGTCTCTGAAGATTTGGCACTAACATTTCATTTCTGGAATGGCTTCGATATCTCAGACTGCGAGTGGAAGGCGCAGGCAGGGAACGCCTGCGTCGCGTCGTTCGACTGGAGGTGCAGCGGGGTCTGCAACCCGGTCGAGCGGCTCAAGGACGTGCACATGAGGTGCGGCGAAGGAGACGAAGCGATCTGGAGCGCCTCATTCTGAAGAGGTCCTAACGAGTATTCAGAGTCAAGAGGTTCCGTCCGGGTATAGATGTAGACAGTGCAGATCATAGCTGCCTGAAGGCTCCCCGAGTGTGAGATCAGATCGCAGCGCGATTGGGTGGGAGACGACAAGAGAAGAGATTACTTGCATATTATCTGATGATGAATGAATGAAGGAACAAACAGGAGGAGAATACCGGACGGACGCACCTCTTTTTTCTTCTTTCTCTTTCTCTTTTGTATCTTGTAGGGATAGAGGTGATAGTCATATACAGATGCAGGGGCTTGTTTGGGCGTACATAAACATAACTGCATTCAATTAATTATTTCATTTCGTCTACTAGTAGTATGTGATCGTCCTTGAAGCAGTTGAAAGTTGAACAAAGCTTGGCCTTGTGTCTAACGGAAAGATCATCGTTGTCTGCGCCGTCGTTTGTCTTTTGTAGTGCGTGTGCCAGAGTTTAGGACGCTGGCATCTTCCTAACCTCCTTCCACGGCGGGAGATAAGTTCACACCTGCTTTTTCGTTTTTTGCCGGCTTTCTGTTTCGTTCAAAATCAACCTATGGATCAGATGCAAAAATGTAGGGAGGACAGCTCATCTCGTCAGGCCTCTCCCCCTCCTAAGGCGGGGGCGCCGCGCCGCCCTCAAGGAGTCCCCGCCCTCAGCCCTCCCCCTCCATCGCCTTCCTCTACCGCCGCCGTCGCTGATGACACTATGGGGCGAAGCCCCTGTGGTGAGACAGCGCCGGCGGCGCAGTCCTCGGCCGGTGGTAACGCGTGGGGGCAGCAGCGTCCATCTCCCTCCTCTTCCAACGGCAGTGCACAGCGGGTTGGCGATGACCAGGTGATCTTCGGCGGCCGTTTGGCGGATGAGATTTGGCTGCGATGAGATCTGATCTGGGCCCGAGGGGTTTAGATCAAGATCCACTGCGGCTGCGCCTCGTCTCGACAACGGCAAGAGGAGACCCCCCTGAGTAATCTTCGTGGCACGAGGACGTCCGGGTCTCTTGGCCTGGGCATGGTGGTGGTGGCTGCCTTCTCCACCGAAGGCGGTTGGCCAGGCTGGTACTGACGGATCTTGGATCTCACTATTAGCATCGGCGGCGAGTGGGGGAGACATAGTCGCCAATGAACCGAGCCGACTCCGGTCATGGCGGGCGATGGGGGCGTCTACGTCGTTGCCTTGATGAAGGCGTCGTCAAGCAACTATCGTCAACCTGCTCGTGCCGCTCCGGAAGAAATCCTAAGATCTCTGGATCGGATGATGGCGGCGCTGCGGTGTCGTGTTCCTTATTGGGAGCATCATTTATGGAGCGACTCCGGATGGAAGAGGCGTGAGGTAGTGTGGCGTGCCCTCTCTCGCGTGGACGACGGCGGGTCTCGGTGGCATGGAGCAGCGGGGTCTCGTCGGTGGGCGTGTAATGATAGACGAGCGCATGATGGTGGCGTTGTCTTGCGTCGTGGTGGCGTTGACGGGAACTAGACCGGGCAAGGTAGATGCAACTGTACATCACCGAAGATGGATCGGTGGCAGGTGGCTGCGGCGGCCTCATACCCGGCAGGCATCCAGGTTGAGGAGTGTGCCGGACTGATGGGTGCCCCATACCCGGCAGGCGTCCTGGTTGGGACCTCAGGTCTTAGATGTTAGGTTTGGCTGCAAGGTCTGTTTGGTATTAGACCCAGACTATCAACATCCCTATATCAATTGGATAGGAGTAGCGACAGATATTGCCTAGACAGTGGCTTTCGTCTTACTGTTGTATGACTTTGTAAGGTCTTGTGTGAATAATTAATAAAGTGGCTGCATGCATCTCCAGATGCAGAGGCCGGGGGGTCCTCCACCATTTCTGAAAAAAATGCAAAAATGTCATTAACTCCCAGTAAGTATATGTTGAAATTTGATATTCAATGGCCTTGACCCTAACACCGAAACAACCTAAAACCCTTGACCCTAACACCGAAACAACCTAAAACGTCTTTCTGTTACACGATAATATAAAAGCATCTCCAGCCGTTGGCCCCTCAGGAGGCGTCTAAAATCGTCGCCTTGGATGAGCCGACGCAAAAAATCGGCCTAGGGGCGAGTTGGTCCCCAGTCGCCGGCCCCAGGGCCGCCCCCAGGCGCGTTCAAAAAATAAAAGTAGATAGAAAATTTCGGCAAAGTTCGGCGAAGTTCGGCTAAACATGACAAATTTCGTCCAACTTGGGTGTTAGGACCCCGATTCTAAGTCACACCGATCTAGCATGTAACACATCATATCACTTTGTGGCCTCACGCACGGTATTCCCACGGGTGCCACCTTACCTGGCCCGGGACCGTTTGCGCATTTTGGCTCACGTATATGATAGTGTCGCTGGCATCCATATGACAGAGAACCCGGGCCGACATGACTAGTCGTGAACCCAAAGTGGCACTAACTTACGGGGACATGCATACATGAATCAACATCGAGCATGTCGGTCAGCAGCGTGCGAATCCGGGCTGTAGCACTGGGCTAACAGGACTCCGGTGAACCGGGCTATAGCAGTCTAGGCAGGACTCCGGATGTCACCGCGTGACATTTCCCCGAAGGGACAGACACATGAACGAAGTGAATCACATGCCGGCCAGTCAAGTGTTCCGGAGCAGTAGTGCTGGGCTAGCAGGACTCCGGTGAACCGGACTGTAGCGGACTACTATGGCTCATGGAAGCACAAGACTATATTTCCCCATAAGAGAGGCTATCCAGGATAAACAACTAGGTTGTCGGATCTCACACATGCCAAGCATTTCAATCATACACACAATATGCTCGATATGTGTAAATACAACATGGCATCACAACATAACTCTACGACTCAAGTATTTATTCATTAGGCTCCGAGGAGCGAGATATTACAAACATGGGTCTCATGACCCAACATTTAGAGCATACAAGTCAAAGCACACGTGGAGGCTTAACATGTATGAGTACAGACATCTACAAATGAAAAAGGCTGAGAAGCCTGACTATCTACCAGATCCTGCCGAGGGCACAAGATCGTAGCTGACGTATCAAGCTAAACGTCGAAGTCCACACGGAACTACTAGCGAGACTGACGTCTCTCTGCAAAACATAAAATAGGCAAACGTGAGTACAAATGTACCCAGCAAGACTTACATCAGAACTAGCTACATATGCATCAGTATCAACAAAGGGGGTGGTGGAGTTTGACTGCAGCAAGCCAGCTTTGACTCAGTGGCTATCCTAAACTATGACTGCAAGTAACTCTTCTGAGGTGGCACACATGAGTCCACATATTCACCATATCAATACACCACTATGGATCCGCTCCCGTCTCTCTATGAAAACGCCATCCATAGCATTCACGCTTATCTTGCGCATTTTAGAGTATCCACTTTCACTTGTCTATGAACTATACAGGCAACCCAGAAGTCCTTTACCGTGGACGCGGCTATTCGAATAGATCATTTATAACCCTGCAGGGGTGGTACTTCTTCACACATGTTTCCGCCACTTAGCGTCTGCACACGACATGTGCTCGGCAGACTTCAAGCGAAAATCGACGTGGGTGTAGACCACGACCTAACTAACCACACAAGTCTCTAGTCCAGGTTTATCGCCTATTCGGGTTCCATCCGCGAGGAGATCCGGACGGGGTTTTGCTCACAGCCCCAAACGATGTGTGCAGGGTTCCCGAGACACCAAACGGGCGCCCGGTACACCGGGCCACGGTGTATCTACCGCGTCATAGCCCACCCCTAGGGTCAGCGCTACGCACGGCCTCCAACACATATCCTACAAACATCAGAAACTAGTTGCAACTCCTGGACAGAGGACAAGGGCGGTTAATAAGTCGAGAGCGTTAATTAAGGATCCCAATGAGTGGTAGTAGCTATTCATGGATCACAAACACAGAACTCAGTTTCTGAGGACGGTTTCAGTGAGACAACCCACCATGCACTCCTACATGGCCTTCACCGCTACCTTTACCAAATCGTGTTCACACACTTAGCTCACACACAGTAGGACATGTTCATCACCATTCCAATTCATCCCCGATGAATCAGACCTGACTCAACTCTAAGCAGTAGCAGACATGAAAAATAAGCATGAATGAGTAGGCACATCAGGGCTCAAACAACTCCTACTCATGCTAGTGGGTTTCATCTATTTACTGTGGCAATGACAGGTCATGCAGAGGAAGGGGTTCAACTACCGCAGCATGTAACAGTTGAATCGTTGTTGTCCTAATGCAGTAAAAGAGAGCAGGAGCGAGAGAGTGGGATTGTATCGGAATGAAATAGGGGGTTTTGCTTGCCTGGCACTTCTGAAGATGATATAGCTCTTCATCGGTGTCATTGATCACATCGTCGAAACATACGTCTACCAAGGGGGAACAATCACCGGCAAACACAGAAAGAATACAATCAATGCAATGCACAATATGATGCATGATCATGACATGTCAATATGTTGTGATTTGAGCTAATGCAGCTAAGAATAGAAGGGTTTGAGTTGATTTGAACTCAAGGTTCAAATTCAGATTCAAGCTATGAATTCAAATAGTGCATGATCATGTTTTGAACTAAACAGTGAGGTTAAGTTGTTTAAACATGCATGAAACCAGTACAGATGGATAGATTGGATTTTTCTGATCATTTTTCATATATAAATTATTTCATTTGGAGTTACGATTGAGTTTCTATCATTTTTAGAAGTTTATACTATTTTTCTGGAATTTCCTGGTTTATTTTAATCCAGAAAATGTATTATTGCATCAACACTACGTCACTGCGACGTCAGCAGGTCAACTGGGTCGGTCCAGGTCAAACCTGACCAGTGGGTTCCACTAGTCAGTGACTCAGTCAACTAACATGGTTAATTAGCACTAACTAACAGTTAATCTAGGCTAATTAGTCCCACATGTCAGTGACTGTGGGTTTAAGAATTAAGTTAATTAAACACTTAGCTAATTAATAGGGGCCAGGGCCCACATGTCAGCGGCTAACCTAACTA